TAAGGAAATGTTCAACATCCTTAGTCATCAGAGAAATGCAAATCAAAACAACTTCTTACACCTGTAAGAATGGCCAAGATCAAAACACTGATGACAACTTACTCTGGAGAGGTTGTGGGGAAAAGGGAACACTTCTGCATTTCTGGTGGGAACGCAAGCTGGTACAACCCCTTTGGGTGTCAGTGTGGCAATTCTCAGAAAATTAGGAAACAACCTTCCTCAAGACCCAGTAATACCACTTTTGGGTATATACCCAAAGGATTCTCAATTGTGCCACATCTGTGTTCGTAGCAGCTTTGTTTGTCATAGCCGGATCCTGCAAACAACCTAAATGCCCCTCGACTGAAGAATGGATAAGGAAAATGTGGAATAGTTACACAATGGAGTACTATACAGCAGAAAAAACCCGACATATTGAATTTTTCAGGAAAATGAATGACGCTAGAAAACATTATTTTGAGTGAGGTAACCCAGACCCAGAAAGATAATTATCACATGTTCTCACTCATAGGCGGTTTTTAAGCATAAAGCAAAGAAAGCAAGCCTACAAACCACAATCCCAGAGAACTTAGACAACAGTGAGGACACTAAGAGAGTCTTGCATAGATCTAATCTACATGGGAAGTAGAAAGTAGAAAAAGATAAGATCTCCTGAGTAAATTCGGGACATGGGATCTTTGGGGAGGTTTGAGGTGGGGAGAGGCAGGGAGGGGAGCAGAAAAAAATGTAGTGCTCAATAAATATCAATAAAAAAAATTCCAGCTCAAAAAAGAGGTTTCCAAGGAGAAGACTATTAGTAGATGACCTCGAGATGTCTTTGTGTTATTTTGGTAAAGAAAGTGGCTGTTTTCTTCCCTTGTCGATAAAAGTCTACCTCGGGCCAAATTGAAGAGTTTTGAGATTTCAAAATAGCCTACTCTTGACTGTGTCATGTGGTTATTATTGGCCAGTCTTATCCAGATCTATTATGAGAAGAAACAAGCTACATACAAAATAATACAAATGTATAAATACAAAATGTAAAGTTTGAGAAGAAAGGGGGCACAAGGAATGTAGATAAGTACTATTCTCAACGAAATACACAGATCAAAGAAAGCTAGTAGAGTGGTGACCTCAGGGTGAGACTCCACCCAGCCACGCTTTCAACTTTTGTGAAAAATAATTAAAGAAAAGCTTAAGCAGTGAAGCTTATACAGATGTGTTTGAATAAGAGGACCATGTTGGACAGCTTTAGTCCATTATCAAATGGTGACAGTATTATGTGCTTGCAGGCCTAAGCCAGCCCTGAGGGCTCAAGTAAATTATAGGAAGTTTAGCAAATGCCTATGATTTCTGTTCCAGTTGCAATGTCTTCTACATCTAAGCATACAACTATGGCCTTATGGGGTATATTGTAGGGTTGGTTGATTAAGGAAGATAAGACTACTAGTGTTTCCTTTACTGCTGGTTCTGTACTGTCTGTCACTTTTTGATTCCTGTGACAAATCACAATAAAACAACTTATAAAAAATGCATTTAATTTGGGATGCATGGTTCCAGGGGGCAATAGAATTCATGACCACCATGTTGGGATGCATGGCAGCAGGAAGGCGGTCATGGCACTGGATCAACAACTGAGAGCTTACACCTGATCCATCAGCATGAGGTAGAGAAAGAGCTTATGAGCTATTGAAATCTCAAGGCCCACCCTCAGTGACAAATGTCATCCAACAAAGGCACACCTTGTAATCATTCCCAAACAGTTCCATCAACTGGGGACCAAGCATTCGAATATATGAGCCTGTGAGAGCCATTCTTTTTCAAACCACATGAGTTCGCTGCAAGCCTCATCTAGAAGTGGACAAGTGCAGCATTATAGCCCCTTTCCAGACAGTCATGAATCTTCATAGTGGACAGGACTTTGCGCAGTGCACATAGTTTGGACATTCTGCTTAGAAAGAAAAATGACCAGCTGTGTGATGATTTACTGATTCATATGCTGTAGTCAGTGTTTTGGCTCTAGTCAGGGACTTGGAAATAGCATAATTAGAATTTGGTGAGAAAAACTTTTACACCCCCCCCCCCGAAAAAAAAGTCAGATGGTGATGGTACATACCTTTAATCCCAACACTTGGGAGGTGTAGGAGCCAGCCATGGTAAGCTAAATATGAAAAGATCACCCAAAGGAAGTTCTTAACTTCCAACCATTATCACCTGCCAGTGCAGGACTCAGCCATCGAAAAATTTAATAGAGGCCTGAGTCTCAGTAGTTTACCCTGAAGCAATACCTGGTTGCAGGAAGAACCACAAGCTGAGATTATCCAACCACCACTCAAGAACAGACCATCCAAAGGAAATGCCTAACGTTCCAACTGCTGTAGATAGGATTGCCTGCCAGCACACACTCACCAGGATACTGCTAGACAAATGTCAGCCAATCAGGGGGTCCTGAACCTCAGGAACTCCTCACCCCCACCTTTACCACTATAAAAATCCCAATTCTAACTGAGCTCGGGGCTCTCCGTTTATTCCAATATGTTGGACATGTCGAGAGACTGAGTTTGCAAACTTGCATAAAATAAAAGGTCTTTGCTTTACATACGGAACTCGGTCTCCTTGTTGGCTTTTGGGGGAACTTTGCGGATTTGGGCATAACAGGAGGCAGAGGCAGGCAGATCTCTGTGAGTTCAAGCCCAACCTGGTCTACAGAGAGTTCCAGGACAGCTAAGGCTACATAGAATGCTGAGAACTTACTGAAAAGTTTTTGAGACCCAATAAATCTCTCTGCTGATGCAATAATCTGAATCAGACCAAATCAAACCTAATTTAAAATGACCCAGGTTTAATGGATACTAACACTCTCAAGTGACCTTCCAGGCCCTCAGAGAGGAGATGGGGAAGGAAGACCAGGATACCATGTGTTTGTTCTATGGGGGGCAGTAAATACCCTGAGGGAGTGACTTGAGCATCTCTGGGAAGGGGTCGCTGGTTGTCGGGCTTTCTCAGAGGTGGAGTCTGGACAGAAGCAACTCCCAGGGGAGGGGACTTGGGATGGAGCTTTACACCCAAACATTATGACTATTTGGATATATGGATGCCAGGGGCTGAGGTGAAGCCTTAACCCAAACATTACAGACTCTTTGGATATAGGGCTGCGAGGGGTGGGGTGACGCTTCAAAGCAAATACTCCAGACTCTTTGGGTATAGGGGTGCCAGGGTCTGGGGTAACACTTCCAGCTACATCTTGAGTCACAAGCACAGGAAGAGACAAACACTCAAAATGGCATGAGGCTTTGACACTTCAAAGCCTGCCCATGGTGATGTACTTCTCCAACAAAACTGGACCTCCTGGAGGTTTCTAGATGGTGTGATCAACAGAGACCAAGTGTTCAAATGCATTAACCTGTGTCCTATGGGGAACATTCTCACTCGACATTTCGTTCCTTGATCTTCATAGGTTCCTAGCCATGTCATGCTGCAAAATGCATGTAGTTCAAAGTTTCCAAAACCCCTATAGTTTTTCACAGCCCCAACACTGTTTAAAATTCTCTTGTCATAAGTATTGCTGCACAGGAGGGTGGGTTCACATGGGTCCATGAAATGAAGACTCAGAGACTCATGAGAATGAACATAGCCTCTGTGGCTGCAGGGGCTCAGTCTCTGTGAACTGAAGCACTTTCCCTTTGCCTCTTGGCATCCTTATTTTTTCCTATATTTACACTTTAGCTAGTAGATTTCCATATCTCAAAACAAACTGAATGAAGTTTTCAAAACCACCATGCCAGGTGCAAATACCTGATTCATGAGGTACCACAGTTTTCTAGGTTTCCTCTAAACCAAATTTTGCATAGGGTTTGTATCCATGGGAAACTCCCAGACAAGATTCTCACAGGGTGACAAAAGGTATCTGTAACACAAATGATGGATTAGGAGCTGAGTGAAAACTCCAGAGCTAGGCCAGGTATAGCCCAGTGGGAAGTCATGGCTAGCTAGGGTTACTTGCTAACTCTTTGACTCCAGGCAGGCATGAATTTCTGCCACAGTATCTCTTTTCTTTTTCCTTTCTTTTTTTTTTTTGTGGGAGGTCACAAGGTTGGGGGTGGACTTGGGAGTACTGGGAAGTGAGTTTGATTGGTATGCATAATATGAAATTCCCAGATAATCAATACAAATATTATGTTGGAAAGAAATTTAAAAATAAAGTCTCTTCTGAATCTCAATGTCTCTTCTGAATCTCAATGCAGCCTCTTGATTGTAATCTCCTATAAAATAAGAAAAGTACATATTTCCAAAATATGATAACCTGCTGGGTATGGTGGCACACACCTTTAATCTTAGCACTCAGGAGGGAGAGGCAGGCAGAGCTCTGTGAATTCAAGGCCAGCAAAGGCTAGAGAGATCATATTTTGAAAACCAATTCTGCTTCTGTATTTAGTCATCTTGCTGTGGGGATCCTGTCTCTGCCTCTTGAATATGAAGATTACTGGTGGCTACTGCACCTGCCAAGGTTTACATGGGTTTTAGAGATCCAAACTCCAGGCTTCCTGTTTCCATGGCAAGTGCATTATCCACTGAGCTATATTCCCCCTCCTCTATATGTTCATTTAAGGAACTGTTAGCTGTTTCAAGGAAAGCTTATTGTTCAGAAGGACAAAGTCAACTTAGAGAAGCAGAATTGGTTAACTCTAGATTCAGAAAGAGACCTTGCTGTTGTCATTTATAGCATTATAAATGATAACACTTGCCTCAGTGAATAAAGTGGAGAGAGATCAAGGTGAATACCTGCATCAGCTTCAGGCCCCAGGAATCTGTGTGGACTGTTTGAACTTATGACAGTTTCTTTGTTTGTAGATTCCTCTCTTTGGTGCTAAGACTATTGTCCAGAGAAGTCCTGATGAACCAGCACTGAGCAAAGCTGAATTTGTTGAGAAAGTCCGTCAGAGTAACCAGGCCTGTCATGATGGAGACTTCCACAAAGCTATTGTTTTGTATAATGAAGCCCTGGCAGTTGACCCTCAGAACTGCATTTTATATAGCAATAGATCTGCAGCCTACATGAAAACCCAGCAGTACCACAAGGCATTGGATGATGCAATCAAAGCCCGACTCCTCAATCCCAAATGGCCAAAGGTAGCAGTTTTATTTACTTTCACAGAAGCGTCTGTTTTCATATTTTAGGATAACATTTCATTGATTAGTACAGATATTCATTCATAGAATCGATACTACCACAAAATCTACAATGATCAAAAACGAGCAATCACCTTCCTTTTTAGTGGTTTTGTAAGTGTGCCTTCTGTCCATGTTTAATTCTTTCCCTGCTTGTTTTAGATTTCGGTTTATCTTTTTGCCCAATTACAGGATCCATTCAGGTTTTAGATATCTTTTTTTTTCATACAAATGTTTAAACGTGATAGAGTGATTGTATTTATCTCCTTCAATTTAAAATGAACTAACTTAGCCATGTATTGGTGCGTACCTTTAGTCCCAACACTTGGGAGGCAGAGATAGGCGCATCTCTGAGTTGTAGGTCAGCCTGGTCTCTCTTACACAGAAACCCTGTCCTAACCATCCCCGCCCCCTTCAAAAAAGAAGAAGAATTTAATCAGGGAATTCTCAGCTAAAAACAAAATCATAATTAATTATATTCTCTTGAGCATTGCCTGGTGCAAGTTGGTGATTTTAATTTTTTCATAAGTATGCCTTTTAACTTAATGATAGCATTACATTATTATAGATGTATAAAATATGATATATATTGAAAATAACTTAAGTGAAAAATAAATAAGCTGGATATGGTGGTCTGTACATCACCCAGCATTCAGGAGGCCAAGGTAGTAGGATCTTGAGTTTAAGGTTATTGTTTTAATAAAAACAAAATGTAATACACATTCAAAACACATAACCTACCAAATAGTATAGCTTAGTTTAGTCTACCTATAATGTGCTCTGTGTACTTAGTCTGGAAGTTAGACAAAATTGTTTAACACAAGCTGGGTATGGTGTTCAAGTTTGTAATTCTAGCACTCAGAAAAAAGATTTCAGGTCTGAGGCTAGCATAGCCTGCATAGAAAGTTCTCTAAGACAGCCTGGACTTTATAGCAAGCCTTGTGTTAAAAACAAACAGATGATGACATTTATGTGTAGAGATGGCAGTTGTGATTGTGGAGGGTAAAAGCTGGGGTTTGTAATCCCAGAGGAGCATGAAGTTATTATGAGTTAATGTGAGCCTGAGTTGACCAGGTACACATATTTTTCACAGAGAATAGAGGGAACAGATATTTTTGGCTGAACTCAGTCCCAGATATTTCCACCAATTTGAATAAAAATTGACCTATGAAATTCAGAGGGTTGCCTTTTCCTCAGATGGTTTGAAATCAAAGAGGCAAAATTGATATAAAAAGACAAAGCAGCCAGAAAAGGAGATTGTTTGGAGTTGCTGGCTGGTGGTTTCCACCCAGCAAGAAACTCTGGGGATGTTGACATCTCTAAATGCCACATGTCTCCTGCCTGATCCTGGCCACAGTACTCAGTGTTGGACACATCAACATTTAGGAGGTGCTAAGAGAGCACCTACTTTTGAATCTTTCTAAATACCTACAATGTTGGGAGCTTCATATCCATTGAGTTTGATCCACTGACAGTGTCTTTCTTTGTATTAGGAAATAAAACTTTTTGCATCTGAGACTTAGAGATAGGAAACAGAGTGAGACAGTATCTGGCCAACTGCAGAGGGATTTCTACTCTATTTCTCATGCTGTGCTGCCTACAAGAAGTTGGCCTTTCTATTCACTAAGTGCTCCAGCACATATTTATAGAAGCCTGAGGGCTACCAAAGCTGTGTTGTTTCTGTGACTTCTCTCTGGATTCTGCCTTTCACAGCTTCTTAAAACTTTTTTTTTCTTTAAGATTTATTTATTTATTATGTATACAGAGTTCTGCCTGCATATTTGCTTGCAGGTCAGAAAGCAGCACCAGATCTCATTATAGATGGTTGTCAGCCACCATGTGGTTGTTGGGAATTGAACTCAGGACTTCTAGAAGAATAGCTCTTATCCTCTGAGCCATCTCTCCAGCCCATGTGATAACTTCTTACAGCGACATTGTGATTCTGTTATCACTACTCAGGGTCAGGGCCAGGTGTTTCCAAGTTCTTTTTTGTCCAATAGTGAAATAAAAGCCCACACAAATTTCACAGTAACTTATTACTTTATTTTAAACAAAACAATAGAATACATCAGAATATACTGCAAGAGAGCAGTGGGCCACATGAGTGAAGATCCTCAAGGCTTCAAGTTATTGCTTGTGGTGTATTTTTATGAGGTCCAGATCAAGAAGGGGCTGGTTACTAAGGGACATAGTTTTGGTGGTTCTCTGTTTTGATCCATTGGTTAGGCCATATCATAATTTTTCTCCTACACATTTCCTTTCCCCCAGTGTATCAGATTTTAGGCATATGCATGTGCATTTATATATAAACATAAGATTATAAATAGGGGATTCTTTGTGAAAGTTCCCTTTGGGGACAGCTTACTTTACTGTGAATGCATCCAAATAGGCCACATTAGTCTTCCTGGGTATCATCAGGAGAGTAAAAATGAATAGTAGAGGATTTTTTTTTTTCGAGACAGGGTTTCTCAGTAGCTTTGGAGCCTGTCCTGGAACTCACTCTTGTAGACCAGGCTGGCATCAGACTCACAGAGATCTGCCTGCTTCTGCCTCCCGAGTACTGGGATTAAAGGTATGTGCTACCACTGTCCAACTAATACAGGACTTTTAAAACAGTACTTCCAATCTTGCTTGCCAGCAAAGGAGTTACTGGAACAATGTACCAAACATCCAGTTTGACTGCAGTAGTGAAGAGGGCTTGTAACTGGAATGTAGCAAGTCTGACTTTAGAGAACCATCCGTGCATCTTCAGCCTGTGCAAGTGAGGCTTAGTGGGAAAAGATTCTCTTTATGAAACTTTGTCCACTTTCAAAGTCTTTGTTTGAAACTTTGTTTGAATTTCTAGCCATTTTTGATATGTAAATGCAGTTTCTGATGTCATTTTGGTAATAAAAGTATATCCTTTCTTTCAGTGATTAAGTTCACTCTTCCTTACCTGGGAAGTAACTGCTGCTTGGCATAATGCCCTTATTTTGGGCATTGGTGGATACGGTTTAAAGTTCTGCTGTTATAGTCAGAATTGCTTTGATCTTGGCAAGTGCATGTGACCAGTAAGGCAGATTTTTTCTTTTTAATTTGTTTATTATTTGTGTGTGTATGCATGATCTTATATGTCATTCATATGTGTAGAGGTCAGAGGATTATTGTAGAGTCGGTTCTGTCAACACAAAAGTATAACTCTTACCTCAAAGAAGATAAGAGATAGTTTATTTTGAAGCCAAATATAAGTGATAATAGCTCAGGAACAAATACCACGTTCTAATAAGGTAGCAATTTCATGAACATCCTATACTCACAGAATAAAGAAAATTATAAATCAAGACATTTTTTTTCCAGTACAACAATGAGTATACTGGATAGGCAAGTTATAGCAAAGCAAGAGAGTTCTGCTGTAGACCTCAGATGCTGTCTGATGGTGCTCTTAGACCTTTTGTCTAAGGGATCTTGATCATGTTTCTTTGCCAGTTAAAATGTTAAAAGACAGGAAAAATATTGAGAACAGCAGTGGAAGGAGAAATCTCAAAACCACAAATAGGAGTAGACAGAATCAGCAGAGGAGTCCTGAAGCTGAAAACTCAGCCTCCTCTCCAGGACTGGGGTTTTAAGTCTCTGGAGGTCTTCCTTTCCTACTTTAGGGTTGGTCAGTTTGAAGAGAGACAGGGTGGTTGATTGGTTCACAACTGTTGTGCATATGTGCTTGAACTTGGTGGGCTACTCCATCAGCAGGGGGCCCTACCGACAGGAGAAAATTCACAAGGCTTTTGTTTTAAACTGCCAGCCTTTTGTTTCAGGTCAGGAGGGAAAGGAAGAATCCAGTTACCTTCAAAGTTCACCATCTTTATCACCTACTCTCTGCTCTTCTCCCTGTCTGTCTGCCTGCCTCCTACTCTCTCACTTTCATTGGTGGAAACTAGGATTTTGTTAAGCTATGATACCCCAAGGGGCTTTTTCTGTGATGTTGGGTCCGACATAGAAGTGAGCAAGGAATGGCTATTTAGGGGCCTAAAAAACAGCAATTGGTGACCTACTTGCTTGCATTAGGGAACTCAGTTGCCCCAGACCTCTGTTCTGAGACAGACCCCCTTGCCCACAGACCAAAGGCCAAAACCAAAATAAAATGAAAACACTGAAAAAAAAGAAAGAAAAAGAAAAGAAAAAAAAAGCAATTGTAAAAGGTATTTATTAAAGATAAATTGTAACCAGGCTGTGTAGCTACTACTCTGACCTCTACATAATCACTGAAGTTTTAATTAGCTGGAAAGTTTGTACTCAAAGTGAGATTCTTTCTGGGAATTTGTTTTTGTAGTTCTCTCCTTCCACCTTTATGTGGATTCCTGGAAATGAATTCAGTTCTTTAGGTCTGTGCTTTAGTAAGACAAATTTTCATGAAATTATATGGTAGAAGATCTTAACTGCAGGTGAATCAGAGGCCTATGTCAAGTCTGAAAGAAACTCAGGACAAGTGACTAACTTGTGCCTATTATTGTACCAAAGCCCCTGCTGGCCTCCAGGCTCACTCAGTACCCATGGCTCCTCTCAGCTTTTCTTAAACCACCCCTGCCCCTACTTCACCTCAAGATCTTTCTTTTCCCAGCTTCTCAGCCATTCTTGTCATGTACCTTCTTGGCACCCTGCTGTGGAACAATGGTCTTGTACCTGTAAAGATTTGTTACTTGTATTTTAATAAAATGTTGATTGGCTAGTAGCCAGGCAGGAAGTATAGGTGGGGTGACCAGGCAGAAAGTATAGGCAGGGAAATGAGAACAGGAGAATTCTAGGAAGAGGAAAGAATCAGTCTGCAATCATCACAGAGGAAGTCAAACACAGATGAAGCAAGATGAGAATGCCTTGCTAATGAAAGGTACCAAGCCATGTGGCTAACACAGACGAGAATTATGGGCTAATATAAGTTATAAGGGTTAATAAGAAGCCTGAGCTAATAGGCCAACTAGTTTATAATT